ATTGAAATATTTCTGCGATCAGGATAAATGACGAATGCACATTCACGAGACGACATAGCGATCAACCACTTATATCAGTTTTAGCTGTAGCTGATTTATGTTGCAATTCAATTTTAAGCAAAACAATATCAAATTCTACAAAATGTGATTGGCAATATTGCTGTTACGATGGAAATTGTATGTAAACGTCCAAATATGATACGATTTGAGACATTCCTTATAATACGCTACTCAATGCTAATACCGAAAATCTGATATGTGCAGCTGAAGAAACTGACGTCTTGTGAGTGTGCCTATTATCATTTACCAATATCGCGGAACTATTCCATTGTCAGGCAATAGGTTATTTTGGACGTTTTGTGTCATAAAATTTGATGTAAAGTTACTTTTAAACCTCGTTTTTGCATTTTTTCGAGTTCCCGATCATATCAGGTCGACCGTGTACTTGACCTTAAAAGATGGCGAATGTGCTATGTACTTTACAATCTAAGATAATTCAACTTCAACCATTTTTATCTCGCAAGATGGCACTGAGAGTGATAAACAATATAAAACTGGGCTCCGAAATTAAATTCGTATTACGGAGAGTTTCGAGTCATTATACTCGTATTTATTGAAAAGTAGTGTCAAGCGTGAATTAGTTAAACTGAGACACTTTGAAATAAACAAAAATCGAAGATCTGCGGGGTAAGTGTCAATTGCACTTGAAATAAGAAATCTCGAATCGCCAACAGCTGAAGAGCAAGAGACAGAAGCCTTTAAAAAAAAGTAAAAAGATAATAAGAACCCCGACAAAAGATAGAAATAAAAGAGTTACTAACAAGGAGATGGAAGAAATTAAGGACATGATGAAAAGTCTTATGGAGGAGTTTAGAGGGTTTCGGGAGGAAAATCGTGAGGAAATGAGGTTACTTAAAGGACAAAATACAATTCTTAAACAAAGAAACGAAGACATGATGCAGGAAATCAGTATGCTTAAACAGAGGGTTGAGCAGTTGAAAGAAGTAGAATAAAGGATAGAGCTCCTAGAGAAAGGTAGAAGAAAAAATAGTATAGTGATCTCGGGTTTAAACCTAGGGACAGGAGGTAACGAGGATTTATAGCAATCAGTAGAAAACTTTCTGGAAACCAGACTGTCTCCAGAGGCAGATATTCAGTCCGCCCAAAAATAAAAGAGAACCTCTATGTGGCGGAGTTGAAGAGTTTTGATGCTAAAATGAAGATCATGAAAGCCAAAGGTAAGGTGCAATATTTGAAAACGCAAAAAATCTACATAAACAGTGATTTGACAAAAAATGACATGATGATTCAAAAACATATAAGAGACAGCTAAAACGGAGAGAGCAAAAGGAAATACAGTCAAGATAGGTTATATGAACTTGCTGATTAGTGGAGAAAAATGGAGATGGGATAAAAAAGACCAGGTGTTGAAACCAGACACATTGATTCAAAAAAACTAGTTATGTTTAGAGAAAAGGATATCTTGGAGACGACAGAAAATGTGGCTATGACAATGGAACAGGTAAGGAACAGGAATAAAAATAACGAAAGAAATAAGACGTTAAGTACGTATAAATTTAAAGAAGAGCAAATAAGAATTGCAACTTGGAATGTCAGAAGTATCTAGGAAGCAGGTGCACTGAAAAACTTAGTCAACATAGTGAACGTATATAAAGTACACGTTCTAGCTCTTCAAGAAACGAAACTTAAAGAAACAGGAATATCCCAGTGCGAAAATTTCGTATTTTGTAATAGCGGTGGTGAAAATAGACTTTTTGGGACAGGATTTCTAATAAATGCAAAGCTAAAAGACACGATAGTAGAATTTAAACCTATATCGGAAAGATTGTGTTATCTACGCCTGAGAGGAAAGTTCAGGAAAGTAACAATGATCAATGTACATGCCCCAAGTGAAGACAAGGATATGGATATCAAAACAAACTTTTATCAACAGTTAGATGACGTGATAAATAGTCTACCATAATACGATATCAAAATAGTATTAGGAGACTGCAATGCAAATGTTGGGCGTGAAGACACTTATCGAAACGTTACAGGAGGGAAAAGCAAACATGAACTCTCAAATGAAAATGGCAAACTCCTGATTAACTTTGCAATTGAACAAAATTTCAAGATAACGAGCACTAATTTTGACAGGAAAGATATCCACAAGACAACGTGGATCTCACCAGATGGTAATACTGCCAATCAAATTGACCACGTACTGATCGAAAACAAGCATGCTTGCAATATACACAATGTTAGAAGTTACCGTAGTGCAGATAGTGATACGGATCACTTTATGGTAGTAGCTGTTATAAAACAAGAAATCCCGAAGAAACAGTTAAAGAGACAGAAGTCAATCAAAAGGTACGAAACAAAAGCGCTAGAAGATACGTCAGTTATACAGCAACTTGAACAAGCAATAGCGACAGGACTGCAGAACACACCAGTTGTGCAGGATATTAATCAGGAATGGAATCATATCCAAGCAATAATCACTAATGTAGCAGAACAGATGATGAGAAAAACGAGTACTAGAAAAAACAAAGAGTGGTTGGATGATGACTATAAACGGGAATTGGAACAAAGACAGAAAGCAAAAATACAAATAGATGTATCTAGAACAACAGAGACAAAGAAAAGATATGAGCAAGCCAAACGAAAGGTGAAAGAGATGTGTAGAAAGAAAAAGCGGGAATACTGGGAAATGGGCTTGAAAATGATAGAAAATCACATGATCAACAAAAACATTAAGAACTTTTATCAGGATGTAAGAAGAAGCAAATTGGGTAGTCAAAGGTCTTCTTGCTTCTATAAAGACAAAGATGGGTCGTTACTTGGTGACATTCCAGGAAAATTAGAAAGGTGGGCCAAACATTTTGAGGAACTGTTAAAGCTATCAGACGAAGAGGAAAGGAACACGGAAGCAGCACCACTAATCGAAGATGACAATCAGGGACAAATACAGGAACCAACGGATCTGGAAATAGAGGAAACAATAGGAAGATTAAAATACAATAAGAGTCCAGGAGAAAATGGAATCACAGCAGAAATAATAAAAGCGGGTGGACAAGATTTACACAAGCGACTTGGAAGTCTGATCAGATATATATAGAATCAAGAGGAACTACCAGATGAATGGAAAAACGCCATAATCTGCCCAATACACAAAAAAGGTGATAAAAGTTCATGTGAAAACTATAGAGGCATTGCCTGTTAGACACTGCATATAAGATACTAGCATTTCAACTAAGGGACAGATTGAGCATATATGAAAATGAGGTTATAGGTGAATATCAACGAGGTTTTAGAAGGGGCAGGTCCACAATAGATCAAATATTTACAATGAAACAGCTGTTCTATAACAGCTATGAACAAAATCTTGGTTTACACGCATTATTTATTGATTTCAAGCAAGCGTATGATTCCATTGACAGAGAAAAATTATATGAAGCTATGAGACTGCTGGGACTACTACCAAGTAAACTGATAAGGTTAGTCAAAATGTCAATGAACGGGACAATGAACAAAGTCACATTGGAAGGGAACACATCTAGAGCTTTTGGCGTAACGAGAGGCCTGAGACAAGGGGACCCGCTATCTACAACATTGTTTAACTTTACGCTGGAAGCTATTTACGTAATTGTGGTATACAAACCGACGGAGTTGTTTACTATAGAAAACATCAGTTGATTGCTTACGCCGATGATATACCTAGCAATAATAACCAGATCCAAAGCAGAACTTGAGAAGACGTTTAGAAGGTTAGAAGAAACTGCCAAACGTTTTGGGCTTCATATAAATGAAGACAAAACAAAATACCTTAAAATGAGAGGAAGCGATGAAGGAAAGTTAACAACAAAAAGTAGTTGCAGAGAATACTGTTTCGAGAAGGTGAATCAATTTGAATATCTAAGGGTCACAATAACAGATAAAGCAGAAGAAGATTTAGAAATTGAAAAAAGAATAGCAAAAGGGAGTAAAGCAATGGGGGCTTTAAGCAAGATGATAAACTCGAGGTGGATATCAAGGAAAACAAAGGAAAGGATATATAAATCAGTTATCCAACCATCAGTACTTTACGGCGATGAAGCTTGGGTGTTAAGCCAGAAAAACGTACAGAAATTGGAACGCTGGGAAAGAAAAATGTTACGTAAAATATATGGGGGCAGAAAAAACAACGATGGTACATGGAGAAAGCGAACTAATAAAGAACTGATGGAGATGTATAACCAACCCAGTATAATACAAAAAGCCCGAGCTCAAAGAGTGCGCTGGTTAGGACACGTTTACAGAATGCCGTCTCATAGGAATGCCAGAAAAGTTTTGTTTGGAGGAGAAGGTAGTAGAAGAAGAAGAGGAAGACCGAAGAAGCCGTGGCTGGAAAGTGTCAAAGAGGATATACAGAGACCGGGCATACCAGACTGGGAGGAAAAGACCAAAAACAGAAAAGCGTGGAAAGAAGTTGTCAAAAAGATAGAAGCCATGGGCCTTCAGGCCTGAAGCGCTGAATTATATATATATATATATATAAGCCTTAGGGTTTAGGAGGTTGTACCCATAGAGATGTTTGTTCATAAGGTTGAGCTATGCAACATATCAGAAGATCAGCCAATTTGATGAAAGTTTGATTTCCATAAGGAAGTTGCGTGGTTCTTTGGGAAGAAAAAATATGAATCGACATTATGTAAACTGAAAACACAACACTCAAATCAACTCCTTTCTGTGCGCCATCTTTTATTTGAGCAGTCTCCCTCGACAAAGCTTATTATGTCACGGCTCCAGCCCAAAATTCTACTTTAAACTTTGTAGGGTAGGCGTATCAACAGCTCTCGTTTATAGATAGTACCCAAAATATATAGTTAGGGGCAAAATGTAGATTTTCAATCGAAATAAGAATTTTGGAGACTATCCCATTCTCGTGTTCACGTATCTCATCGATGAAGTAGACACAGCCATGTTATAAATATAAAATAACTTCACAATGATGTTTCCAGAATTTGCCGAAAGTTTACCTGGATCCACGCAAAGAAGTCCTTACCCTTCCAGAAAACGTAAGTGTCGCAGACCATTTATATTCAAAGTTACTGCAATTCAAGTTCACTTAACAGCTGCCACTCTACGGCTTGGGTGCATATAATTGTTTTTTATGCTTTTCTCAGGACCCTCATCAAGTGCTTCCATGAACAAGTCCTCCACATTACCATTTTCACATCGACTGACTTCCGTGCCCAGAGATAGAGTAGATAGAGATAGAGACGGCTACTATAGTGACAGAAATGAAATGTTGAGAGAACGAGAGAAAGAAAGGGAACGAGAAAGAGGATATCTGAGCGACCACAATTCAAGGTAAGTCTCCACTTCGAGCAAAATTTAACAATTGAAAAAGTATTCCATTGCAAAGTTTGTAGGAAATATTACATTAAATACCATGTTTGACGACCATTTCTATAAAATAAAAAATATTTGATTTTAGTCCACGAATTTAATATTAACAGAATTTGTGCCGTTTAGAACTTAATTTACAAATAATTTTAAATTGTATAGTTATATTATATAGTGCAGATACCTCCCATAAATATAAAGAATATAAAAATATTTTTATCAATCTAGTTAGAGAAGCAAAACGCCAATTCTATCTAAAAAAATTACAAGATGCCAAATCTGATCCAAGAAAACTGTGGCCAGTTGTCGATCACTTAACTAACAAAGACGTTCAAGAAAAGCGAAATATTGATGAAATTAAGAATCGTGATGGAACAATATTAACAGATAAACGACAAATATCCGATGCATTCGTAAATTTTTTCACTAATGTTGGAGAAAATTTAGCATCCAGTATTAAAAAAATGGTTTCGAACGAAAAGTTCACAAAAACCCAACTTCCCAATTCATTCTTTTTAGAAAGCGATAGTCCGATTAAAGTACAAGAAGCTGTCCTATCACTTAAAACCAAAAAAACCTGGTGTAGATGGTATCAAAGCTGGCCATTTAAAAATAATAGCCTACGGCTTAGCCGAACCACTTTCTTACGTCATTAATTGGTGTTTCCAATCTGGAATTTTTCCTGATGCATTTAAAACAACTGTTATTACTCCTGTTTATAAAAGAGGTGACAGAATGGAAACATCAAATTATAGACCCATATCAGTACTATCGAATATAGCCAAAATTTTCGAAAAAATACTACAAAAAGGATATTACAATTTTAGGACAAAAACAAAATTATATGTTCTGACCAATATGGATTTAGAAAAGGAAAATCTACTACAGATGCAATTTTGGCTGCAATGGATGAAATTAACTCTAATGTCAACAAAAAGATACCTACTATTGGTATCTTTGTTGATCTAAAAAATGCCTTTGATACGGTTAACCATGTCGAGCTTCTGAAAGTTATGGAAAGATTGGGATTTAAGGGAGCGTCACAAATCCTTTTAAAAAATTTTAAAAGTCGGGCACAGACTGTCAAAATCACTAACACTTACAGTAAAACAATGTACATCAAGTGTGGTGTGCCTCAAGGAACAGTACTAGGCCCACTATTATTTAGTCTCTACTTAAATGACTTATTCAAAATTAACAGTTCTGGAAAGATTATATGTTTTGCAGATGACACCCTCGTATCATATAAAGCTGATGACTGGAGCACACTGAAGCAAACAGCTGTAAAGGATTTTATAAGGATCGTTGACTGGTTTGATACTAAAATTTTAACAGTTAACTTCAAAAAAACAAAATTTATTGCATTTACATCCTATTCAAAATTTTTACCTACGTTCGAACAAATTTCCGTTAATTATCATGGCCAAAAGACCAAAATAGATAGAGTTAACACTTTGAAATATCTTGGAATATTTATAGACTCACATCTAAGGTGGGATAACCATATTAAATATGTTATCAAAAAAATTAGAAATGTTGCCTATAAACTCAAAATGCTTGCTAACATTCTTACAGAAAGTTATCTACGAATCCTATACCATGCCTTAGTTGAAACCCATATAATATACGGCATCACAGCCTGGGGTGCCGCCTGCAAGACATATATTTGTGACCTGAATATAGCACAAAAAACTGTTTTGAAAGCCATTTTCCATGAGCCAAGATTATATCCAACGAACAAGAAACAGGGATACTTGATACAAGACAACTTTATTTCTTACATGCCACCACCTTATACCATAAGTATTGTAATAAAAAGAAAAAATCCTATAAACACGAGCATAACACACGATTTCGAATAGGCTCATCTAATATCCAAAGACCACACAAAACATTATTCAAAAAATCATTTAAATTCTTAGCAGCTAAATTATATAATGGTAGTACCAAACGAAATAAAGATACTTAATTTTGGAAAAAAATTTAGAAGAAAATTGAATTGAATGTGCAGCGAATGACTATACATAATTATATAGAAAACTAAAACAACAAAATTCCAATTACATTAATACCTTTTAGATTTAACAATAATTGTTATACACATATATGATTGATTGTTAGTTATTAAGATATAAACCACACACAGGCGATGCCTTCTGTGGTTTTTTCATATTTATTTACCCATTTTCTGTATTTTGGCGAATAAATATTATTATTATTATTATTGGTACCTGGTTTGAAACTGACAAGCTCAAATTATTAGATGGGGATTTTCACGTGAACCGGACAACGAAAAAAAGTGAGGTCTCAAAGTTCACTCATATTGGGCCTGTTTGTACAGCTGCGGACTTCGAAAGAATAACCATTCTTGAAATTGGGATTTCTTAAAATCCATTTTCCGAATTCAAGTATTACACTGGAATAAAAAACAGGGTGCTTCATATAGGAAATTTTCTGTACTTTTAAATGTGGATAATTTCAGTCGTTTTTTCTGATTTTTCACGCCAAAATACAGTCTATAAGTTTTAAAATGGTATGCCCATTAATTAAGGTATTTCTATATACATACATATCACACTGGTTCGCGAGATATGGTATTAATAGGCTGCAATATGAATATTATTTTCCCTCTAGTAATCATTTTAAATATATTTTAAAATATATTTATATTTATTATATTTTATTTTCATACGGTTTCATATTTTGAAATAAAAAAGTAGGGTACCAATCCTAAGTAAACATTTCAAACCATAATTTGAGTAACTTTTATCATTTTAATTATGCTTTTTTTACTCCAAAATATAGCCTAAAGTATGTTTCAAATACACTAGAAGTTTTTAAATATGATACCAATTAATACATGGGTATGTATTTTTATGTTCATATAAATATGTCGCCAAGTATGAAACAAAATTCAAGTGGAATTTACCTATATTTTTGTTCGAACTATGAACTTCCGCTTTTAGACACAATTCTTTTTAAATTTCAGTATTTCGTAAATCATGTGAAGAAACTATAATTTTCTGTAAAAATATGTTTAAAATGACTATTTGAGCTTAAAAATACCCATATTGTTGTCTAGTAAGGCAATATCTCGCAAAATTTTAAAGCCTCTAGTGTATTTTAAGCACACCTTTAGGGTATATTTTTCTGGTTAAAAAAATGGAAAATAGAAATAGTCGTAGCTACACAACTTTAGCTTGAAGTGTTTACTTCTGGTTTTGTAGCCTCCTTTTTTAAATTTCAATGTTTGAAAAAACTATAAATGTTTGTCAAAATATATTTCAAATAATTATTGGAGCTTGAAAATACTCATATTGTTGACTATTAATGCAACATCTCGCAAACCAGCCGACTTAAACAAGTGCGTATCGTCATACCCAGTATGACATGTATACTAAGTGACATATAAATCCGAACACCCAGTTTAAATGGTTTTATTTTAATAAAATTTTGTATAAGTACTTAATGAAGCATAATAAGTAAATGATAAAAATTTCAAAATGATTGCACTGCTTTAAAGCCCTTTGACCTTTAGTAATGTGTGGATGCACCCTGATGTGCTACGCATTCTCCAACGCGCCTAGGCATGCTTCTGATCCGGTGGTCAATGTCCTCCTGTGGTATCTCATTCCAGGCAACCACCAACTCCTCTCGAAGTGCTTCTAGAGTCTGAGGAGGACGCTGCAAATTGAGCAATCTCCTACCCATCATATCCCACACGTGCTCAATTGGAAATAAGTCGGGAGATCTTGGTGGCCATGGTAACAATGTGACATCATTATGTTGAAAGAAGTCTATTGTGACTATTGCAACATGTGGTCGGGCATTATCTTGTTGGAAAGTTGGATCTGCCAGGGTGTCAAGATAGGGTAAAAGATAGGGTTCTAGAACTTCGTGGTTATAACGCTGCGCGTTCATGTTACCTCTGATGAAGATTAAAGGTGACCTGGAACCATAAGCTATAGCACCCCAAACCATAACTCCAACAGTGTAATAAGCATGTCTTTCAACAAAAAACTGTGGATTCCTCCTTTCACCACGTCGCCTTCTAACCCTGGCACGACCATCGTGCATGCCTAAACAAAATCGAGACTCGTCACTAAAGACAATACTGTTCCATTCCTGATCCCAGAGTGACCGTTGTCTACACCACTCAAGGCGATTACGTCGGTGTTCTCGAGTTAAAGGGAGGACCCAGTGTGGCCGGTATGAAAACAAGCCAAAACTTCTCATTCGTCGGTAAACACTTCGCATGCCAATAGGTCTTCCGTGTTCTGCAAACCATTCATTTGCAATGGACCTGGTAGTGGAGAAACGGTCCCTTAAGGCCAATAATCTTAGGCGGCGATCTTCACGGTCTGTTGTTCTACGGCGGCGTCCAGTGCCCCTTGCCCTTTGCGTACGGCCTTCTCGAAGCCATGCCTGACAACACCTAACCACAGTGTCTACACTTCTTTGCACTCTAACTGCAATTGCCCGAAAAGAAAGTCCAGGTTCCCGAAGTCCCACTATACGGCCCCTATCAAACTCACTAAGTTGACGAAATCGTACAGGTCTCCGTACTCTAGGCATCGTAACCGATCGTAAAGGATGTCAAGAACCAAAATCCGCCAACGTTGATTCTTTACTGCGGCTGAAATATTCATTTTTAGAGCGTTAGTGAATTATAAAAAAAGCAGTATAAAAACCGGAATGTCCAACCGATAATGCTGAACATTTTTTCACTTGTTATTTACAGTAAGATAAATCCATTCACCAAGTTTTATTAAAATAAAACCATTTAAACTGGGTGTTCGGATTTATATGTCACTTAGTATATTTACATAAAAACTGTATTAATGCGAACGCCATATTAAAACTTCTGCTATACTCTAAACACACTTTGGGCTATATCTTGGGGTGAAAAAATCTGAAACAACGACCAAAACTACCCAAATTTTGATTTGAAATGCTTACCTCCG